ACAGCAATTGGGGCAGATTTTGGACGGCTAAACAGCAAACTAGCTTGCTCTGGACGTCAAGGCAGCAACCTATTTTGCTCTGGGAAGCTTCTAGACAGGAAACTGGACTGTTTCTGAAATCTGGACAACAATTCCTAAAGCAGGGTCAGCAGCTTGGGTTCCCTGGATGGCTAAATGGCAACAGAACATCGGCTGGAGCCTTAGGATCACAGAAGAAAAAGTTGGGACAGCAAATTCCAAGATTTGGAAATGAGGACAGCCACTGTACAGCAAGGGGGCGGCCAAGGTGGTTGAGGATTTGGTGAGATGCTTAGAAATCTGAAATTATATTTCAAGTGGAATTGGAGGGAAAAATCTGAGGTTTTAATTTCAGATTTTATTAAAAGGGAAGGGGCCAATTTGAAATTCAAATTAACAATAAATAATGGGTTAATGGGATGGCGATTATGGGAGAGATTTAAGGGAGAATTAATGTCGCTTAGGTGGCAAAGTGAGAAGAGAGAGGGGAAGAGAGGGGGCCAGCCCCAAGGGGTTTAATTTTGTATTTAAATTAAATGAGAGTGGGACCCATGTGATTAAATACATCAATTGAATCAAATTCTGAATTAAATTCATATTTGATGAGCTATGAAGAGTTTCCTAATTGGATTTCGTCATTTAAGGAGGGATTTAAAATTCAAATTTCAATTTGAATTTCAAATTTGAAACTTCCTAAATGACAAGGGAATAAATTAGGAAAGTAATAAAGCTGAATTGAATTAGAAAATTCAAAATTCCAAGTGCTAATTTGGATGGCCGGTGGGTGGGGAATTCCTCGGGCTGACCGGCGGCTGCGGGAAAGGGCTCGGGCGGCCGGTGGTAGGGCGGTGCGGCCGAACGGGAGTTGGGGAGGGTGGAATCTAGGGGTTAATGGCAAGGGGAAGGGGTGGTGGTTGACCGGCCAAGTGGTAGGGTGGTGGGGGAAGATCCGACGGCTAGTGGAGAGGAAAGAAGAAGAAATTAGATAAAAAAACCAAGAGCTCCACCAAGGGGCTGTTGGGTATTGTTTTGAGCCTCTCCTAGGCTAATCCTCACTCGAGAACTCACAAAGAGAACTCTAGAACTCTCAAAGAGATCCAAACCAAAGTTGAAATTTTATATCAATATTCATCATCCTCTTACATAAGAAAATGACCATATATATAGGCCTCAAAATGACAAAGAAAACAAAAGACTAAAATGCCCTTGGGCTACATAGCAATCAACTACTCATAAAGGCAAAAGCGGAAAAAAAAAACTGAAAAATAAAATAAACTACTAAAAAAATGACTTAAAATAAAACTCCTGATCGTGGCCGTCGATCTCCGGCGTCTCCAATGGTACACGTGTCGAAATCGTTGATGATGTCCTCATCAGATCTAGATGGAAACTCTTAGGTGAAAGTTCTAATTGTTAAGTTGCGGATTATCGTTAGCTACATGTTTGTTTTACTATTTTATTGTTATTATTTCGGATTGTCCCGTTAATTTAACGTGTAATTGCATGCTAGAAACAAGTCAATAACCACGAAAACTAGAAATCCTAACTTAGAGAATCATTAATGTTATAATGTCATTATGGAAACAAATTTCTTAACAAGATCCTGCAATTCCGTTGGTTGTTTCACATCAAAATCATTTATGAAATTGTGAAAATTATAAAAATGTGTGCAATGGTATATATGCCGGTAGGCCCTATTAGATATTGGCTAGCTGGGCCAACTGGCTCACATAGTGACAACTCTATAGGAAATCATTAAATTTCCTTGAGTTTATGCTTACCTTTCCGGTGATGGGTACTTGACAAACCGACTAGAGATATATGTAGATATGTATATATATAAATAAATTTGAGCTTAAAAACATAGATGATTGATAGGCCATTTGGGGGTATGATGATACCCAACATGATTGCATTAGAATTATATGAGTGTAATAATTTGATATATACATTTGTTACACCAGCATATGTCAATGCTACTTCATATAGTGCCTCTAGGTTACTACTACCACCTTTTGGTTGTTCATATTGCATGTCACATTACTTTGTCATTTATGCTTTGATAGATAAGAGTTACTTGCTAAATTTGATTTATCAAACTCATTCATTGTCTCTTTTTATAGCAAGCCCTATCAGCATATTTAGCGAACCATCACTTCATGAGTAGATTTATTCATAGTACACTATATTTGGTATTTTATATTTTACAGTATAACATTATATATTTGCTTTGTGGGTTTGGTAGTTTATTTCTTATTATTTAATCTATTTATATTTCTTTTGTTTGTATCAGTATTATTGCTTTGGTGTACTGTTATTTAAATTCCTATTAATGAAATTAATATTTAGTTTCTTTTCCATTAATTACTTTGATATAATTGGTTTATACACTTTTTTGTTTTGGAGTACAAAACAGATATTTTTAACCCTTCATCTCATCCCGTGTTGCTGGGGTACCGCCTTCCGAACCTGAGGTATGATAATTAGTGGTATGTATGACATCAATTTTCCAAAGAGCCATAAGAAGCATAGAATTTATATGTAGAAAATAGCAATCTGTGGGCTCAAGAAAAATGGCACGAATGCACGAATCCTGCTTTGCAGCCGTAGAATTCCACTTCCCTTAAGTCAACTTGAAATTAATCAGATTTCCCCTGAGGGTAGTGTCAGGGTTTATAGATCTGGGGTTCTTACTTCCTATAAGCGCAAGCGCCCATAGTTAATTACCCCTCTTACAACGTAAGAGAGAACTCTCGATTAAGGATGAAATAAATTTTAGTTAATTTTATTCTCAATAGTAGGGGAAATGGAGGTAAACCCGATCAAGATCCCATGGTTCCATCGTCCCGGGTATACCATAGATTTCAGTCTACCAACACTAGCAATTATGACCGTAGTGTCCAGGGAATCTGATTAGCAGCCATGGGTTGCCTCCTTTCAGGGATCCCGAGTAGACTGAAGTGGTTAGATGTGGATTTTAGTTTGATTTAATTTGGGTTGGGGCTTATGGCTTCCTTAAAAGTTGCCCATTAATTTGTTTAGTTTGGGGCTTACGGCTCCAATTAGAAGTTGCCCAAAGATTTATTTAGTTTGGGGCTTACGACTCCGTTAGGAGTTGCCCGGAGAATTTCAGTTGGATAGGTCTTATGGCTTCCTTAGAAGTTGTCTAACGGTGGGTCTTACGACCTAGCCCTGTAAGCTAAGCGGCCCGAGTTGTGGGTCTTACAACATAGTCCTTTAGACTAGGATGCCCGAGAATTTTAATTGTTTGGGTAGGACTTATGGCTTCTCTTAGGAAGTAGCCTGAAAAGTGGGTCTTACAACTTAATCATTTAGACTAAGATGCCCATAGGTTTAAATTTGATTGTTTAGGGTTTAGGATCATTACTACTTATTTAGCAAATTTCCTAAAATGTGAGGGCTTACGACTTCAGTAAGAAGTTGCCCGATAGTGGGTCTTACAACCTAATCCTATAGATTAGGATGCCCAAATGAGGGGTTTAGGGTTGTATTATCACTTAAACATTTGCCTCAGAGGTCGGACTTACGACTTCTATTAGAAGTGGCCAGGGTTTGAATTGGGGGTTTAGGAGTTAGGTCAATTTAACCTAAAACTTTCCCCTAAGATCGGGCTTACGACTTTCCTATGAAAGTTGCCGGGTAGCGGGTCTTACAACCTAATTCTTATAAATCAGGCTGCCCAAGCGAGGTTGAAATTTAATTGTCTAGAGATTTGTTATTTAGAGAAATTGAAAGGGTTGTAAATTGGTTTTAAGTAGTTAAGGCTTGCAGTTGCAGAGGATAGAGCCCAAAAGATAGCTTCAGGAGCTCGTACACGGGGGACTTTGAAGAGATTGTCAGATGTTCAAAGTCAATGAGCATTGAGAGTTTTGGAAAGTTTTGAGAGTTTTGGAGAGTTTGAGGGTTTTGGAGAGTTGACAACCAATATTGTATATGTGGTTTAGCATTTTTATTTTATGATTTTCTTATTTGATTAATCAAATAATCAATCAATAAACCAACTCTAAATTTCATTGCTCTAAAAAAAAAACTTTTAAATAACTCTCGGGTTTTAAAACTTTTGTTTCTTGCAAGCAAATTATAATTACAAATCCATTATCTTCAAGAATGGTTGGATGCATATAATGGGTTTGATCGTTCAATTTTAGTTTAAATTCAATTTCAAGTGGCTCATTGAAGTTCAGGTTCTTATAGTCATATTGAGTGCAAATATGGTTCGAGTTCAAGTTTGAGTCCAAGTCCAATATCATATAATCGAATTTTAATTTAAAATTGATTTTATGTTTAAATTTCGTTCAAATCATTTTTTTTAATTAATTTTTTTTTGTCCAAGTCTCCTATTATTCACTAAAAATTTCGGCAGCCTCCCGGCGTCGCCTCCCCACCGAGGGAGAAATCGGGACGGCATCTGCCGAAATTTCTTCCTACCCGGACCTAAGGTCAACGGCGTAGGGGCTTCGAATTTAAACCATCCCACCAGGATCTAAGATCAACTGCGTGAGGTCTTCAATTTGGAACCATCCCGGTCGGATCTAAGATACGACGACCGGGGTCTTCGAATTGTGAAACCATCCGCCCAGATCTAAGATCGATGGCGCGGGTCTTCAATTTCAAACCGTCCCGGTCGGACCTAAGGTACGACGACCGGGGTCTTCGACTCTTGCTTGAAATTCATTCTTATTTATTTATTATTATTTATATATATAATATTATATAAATTATAAAATAATATATTATGATATGGTTATATCATAATATATTATTTTTATGTAATATTATACTTTATAATATACATAAAAAAGAAATGAAATCATCTCGGGCATAATCGAGTTTGACTAGGGTGATCGTTGAAGGAGCAAGTCGGACTTCTGATTCGACAGGTAAAATTTTTGAATGGGAGAAGTCGGATAGCACGAAGGAGCTAAAGAAGCGGCTTGTGCGATTTCTATACCTCTGCGAAGCAACGAAGTTGGGTAGCCACGAAGGAGCGGAAGTAGCGACGGTGCAATCCCTGCACCTCCCGCGGAGTGACGGGATTGGGCGGCGACAAGGAGTCGGAGGCGAGTCGGGCTAGGGGTCGGCGTCAGATGCAGGTGAAGTCGAACGACAGTAAGGAGTTGAAGGATGGGCTCGTGCGATCCTTCTCCTCCCGCGAACTGAAGCCGAACAACAACAACGAAGAGGGAGATGAGCAACGGAAGAATGCCCATGTCCTCCTATTCTCTTTGTCCGTCATTTTTAAACGATGAGCGACAGTTATTTAGCGGGGAGTTGCTTCGCTTCGTTGTGTGGGGCCGGCTCGGAGGTATGTCGGTTTGTTTTGATTTTTTTTTTTTTTTTTTTGTATATATTTTTATACAGTCAACACAATCATTATGAGAAAGCAAATATGGCGAGGATGGGTCTCACTTGCATCCCATAGCATCATCACACAAATCACGAAGTTAAACCAGCAAAAAATTCATCAGTTTTGTTACCAAAGTAAACTTTTAACTAAGCATTAACAACAATTGGCATATTAAAATTTGCACTTACAGTGCCAAGTGTTAAAAGGCTTTTGTTTATAAAAGATCCTTCCTTTCTCCTTTGTCCTGTTGTTTCAGTTTTTGAACTCTCAGAACCTGCTAAATCAATTAGGTTCTACGAGAACCAAACAAAAATAGGATAAGCCACAACAGTTGACACATGAGTTCCTGAAATGATGGCTCAAGTTACCATACAAGTTGAGAATACATCACTCCGTCATATTCATCTCCACGAGCACTACTTTCAACCATCTGTCAAAACGAAAGAAAATAAATCAGCGAGGATACAACTTAAAAAGATTGTTGCTGACAACATAAGCTATTAAAAGACAAACCAAAAAGAAGAAGGGGCAACAGAGAAAAGTACAGAAACTAATGATATCGATAAATCAACATTCAAAACGCATGAGCAAAGAAAATAAAATTCCAAATATCCTACTCAATGAAAGTATATATAGAAAGAATAATTTAAAAAAGGGAAGCATATTGGTATCCCAGCATGTGTCAAGTACAGGCCCAAACTTTAATGGCAAAGTTTGAAAAGCATGCAATTTCAACTGAAAAAAAAAATGAAATAAGTATGGCAATTCTATGTTTCTAACAATGAAAATCACAACCACCACATATTACAGTTAAATTTGAGAAAACAAGCCCAAATCATAGTAGAAGCGATTATTTGATTTGTTAAATTTGCTTTAAAAAAAGATATTAACTAGATATGCTATAGACTTACTATGTTAAACCAGAAAATCAGTATCTAATGCAGCACTAACAAAATTGAAAATTAAAGAGACGCCGCATAAAAATATAACCTTAAAGACGGATGTATCTGCATAAATCTAAATTCCAAAATAGAGTGACAACGTACCAATGTAAAAATAGTATGACTTCGGCTGCTAAATAAGTTGAAATTATTAGAACCAACATGGCGATGCTCTGCAAATAACAGCAAAAGATAAAGAATTAATAAAATAAGAAAGATAAAACAATGTTAATAGCGTATTATTCTTTTTAGCTGCTCCAGAAAAATAAACAAATATTTAAAAAAAAAATGATCCCAAACAAGGCCTAAGCTTCTCGTGTTGGTAGAAGTGCTTCTCTTTGCATTTTTTACTTCCTCTAAAAAAACTTCGAAAATGATAAACAACAAAAACATTAGCTAAATAAATAGCCAATGAAGAACACAACAATATTCAAAATTAATAAGATTACAACAAAGCCGCAGAACAGCATTAACAAACAGCAAATGAAGAAACCAAAACTGGCTTAAGGCACTACCAGCTCTGATTCTTCAAAGTTTGAAAACATCTATTACATTGGTAGCTGACAAAATACAAGACAAGGCACTAAGAAAAAAGAAAATTTGTTAGGAAATCTGCATACCTTCACCAGCAGCAATGAAAGAAAGTGCATGCCCTGGAGATAAAACGACTTCATCTTTTATGCCCTCAACATAAGTTCCCTACAATGTCTTAAGGCTAGTAAAGGTTGAAACTTCAAGCAATATAGTGTGAGCAGATAAAAGAAGCAGGTAGAGCAGACCGCAATATAGTGTAAGCAGTAAAAGAAGCAGGTAGAGCAGAACACAAAATAACATCTATGGAGGATTCCATATCCCAAAGGTTAGAAATTGATTAAAAAGACTAAACTATATAAGCATTGGATATCAACAGCGACATTATTCATTCGTTTCTAAGATATATAAAGACAAAAGGCCGTTCGAATATTTGTAGAACAATTAACAAATAAGGCATTTGCTCCATGAGAAGTAATTTCCTTAATTATTAATCATTAGTAATCCCTCTTATTTTAAACTTCATAAAATACCACTCTTTCTCCTTCATATTTTTTTCCTTTGATTTCTAAGAAAGTGAAATGTAGTATCCTCAATCTCCATAAAACAACTTTTGTACATCCTGGCTTCATTTCAAATATCATTGAACATTAAATATTACATATTTCATTGCAATATTACGACCATAGAATAGACAGACAAATGGCATAAAAAGATACGGGCAAGTCCATGGACCTGACCATAAATAACCAAACCCTCGACAAAGGAGTATGCGAATCACATTTACACTAATCTATTAAGGAGCTTATGACTGATATTTAGAAACCAAGTTTAGAATTTTAGGAATTCCATGGCTTCCTAAATCTACGAATCTAGAACTTTGGAATGTTAAATACGCTTCTTCTTCTGTTTTGGTTTATGCCGAACAAAATTCTTTTGGTTTATGACTAACACTCTAACACAATGTTTTACTTTACAGGAATTACCTTCTGCTCATTTAGATTGGACATGGCGTCAGGCAAGTTCTTACCCATAAAAAAAACTTTGCTTCGCTGACCCAACAATTTCTTATTTTTACAAAGCTCTAAAAGCTTGAATACTGAACTCTTGATTTCTATATCCATAGCATCAGGAAAGTTAATATATTTCTTCAGTGTACGGTGGCTTTGAATAGTTTTCGTTGATTCATACTATAGATTGCTATAGTACATGTAATGCTCTCAAACATTAACTAAAGCAGAATTTTGATGAAGATCATCCATAACTGGTATTCAATACAGAGGTTGTGTTTTTCAACGATTCTAGAAGTGGCACTTTACTTGTAATACTCTAAATTTAATAAAACAAAAGAGATATATTTTTATTTAAATGTTTTTGAAAATAATGAATATAATATTATTAAGTTATAATAACACTCATTTAGTTAGTACAATATTTTATTAAGAAGTTGAAATTATATTTTAATTAAATTTCTAAATATTAATGCACAACTAAAATTGTTTATTTAAATAAGATAGTAATTAAAAAGATAAAATTATGTAAAGTGTATATTAATTTCCAAGAATTGTATATAAGATTTTTATGACTTATTTAAAACTTAAATATCATGCTATTTGGATTTTTTTTATTTTTCCTAGTGAGAAATAAAAGTAATTATTTTTTTATATATTTATTACCAAATATTTTGAAATGAATATTAATATAGAAATTTTATACCTTTAATAGTAGATACGTCATATTTAAAAATTAAATTTTTTAATATATTATAATTATACTTCATCTTATGATTTCACATAATTGAAATGAATACTGTTTTAAAATTATACTAAACTTATTACCACATTTAATAAAATCATCATATCATAAAAATTACATGCAAGTCATGCAATCCTTCTTCAAAATATGTCACGTATCATCATGCATGAAAGTCTTCATGCAAAGTTTCTTACATCTTTAATTCATGCAAATATCTCTAAAATTTACAGGAATTCATGTTTGCTAGTTTACAGACTTGTTCATTTTCTTCGTCACTTCTCATTTCTCCAAACCAAGTGTTTTTCATCCAAAAACTCAGTTACCAATAAATAAAAGAGAAACATGACTCTCATTCATACAAAAAAAATTTAATGAAGATTAACATTGAGATGAGGGAGAAAAAGAGGTCATAGAATTAGAATTGTTCGATGGAAGAAGAAAGTTAGAGAGAACAGAAGAGTTAGAAAAAAAAAGGGAAAGTTTATAAAATTATGGAAAATCAAGCGGATTCACAATCCGTTCATTGTTCGTGAAACTCTTCAACGTTCATCAAATTATAGTAGGCAAAATTTCCACAAATAGTTTATGCTAATGCAAGTTTGTGTCATGATTTTGAATTTATTTGTTAATAATATGCAAGTTTGTGCCATGATTTATAGTGTAATAATTTTTTCTCTAACTATAATTTATTTTATTTGTATTCAAATTTTATTCTTTACATTATTTCAATTAGCATGTGAAGATAATTTACTTCTTATTCAAAAATATATACATATATGTATTTCTTATCTTCCCTTATATATAATTATTTCTCTAAAGTTTCTTTATACTTTGAAATATTATTTTCTTTAAAACTTATATAAAAATTATCCTTAGGATTATCAAGTTAATAATTTCAAGATAAGATCTTATCAACATAAATATTAACCAAAAAATGTATACTAGATTTTAAACAATTTTAGAATTATTATTCATAATTAAAATCAAAAATTATATTTAAAATGGGAAAAAAATTGTAAATAATTAAATTTTGATTGTACAAATAATCATTTAAAATAATATTTGATACAAAATATGAATAACTTCATGCATATCAAATTACATATACATGGGCAAAATTATAGGCCTATTTTGAGCAGGTATTTCCATAAAAGCCTTCCTGATCAAGCAACAACAACAACAACAACATCAAGCCTTTATCCCACTACGTGGGGTCGGCTACATGAATCCTTATTCTCCATTGTGTCCTATTAAAAGTCAAATTCTCGTTTAAATCTAATAAAGAAAGGTCATTCCTAATATTTTCTAACCAAGTCTTTTTAGGTCTACCCCTACCTTTCTTAACACAAGTCAAATCTAATACCTCTACTCTTGTGACAACTGGTTCATCCGGCCGGTTCACCCGAACCGGCCCACCCTTTTAATTCCGCGAACAGAACAGTTCGCGGAACAGGCAGTTCGCGCGAACAGAAAGGGGCGGACGGTCGGGCTTCACGCGAGAGCGAGGTAGGTTTCTTCTTTCTCCAATTTTAGCAAGTGATTACCTTCTAGGATAAGAAATAACGATTCCTTTTCATTCTTATCGTTATCAGAGTGTTATTTTGGGAGAAATTGAAGAACACGAGAAACGGACGAGAAGGATTAAGAGAAGAAGATTTGTTGAATTTCTTTCGGATTTTTCCTATAAATTTCTTCTCCTACTTCGTTTAAAGTGAGTGATATGTTTCTTGAAGGAAAGAGAAGAGATTGTAGCGAAGAAAAAGGAAATTGGGAGAGAAAGGAAATTTCGAGAAGAAGGATTTTGAGAGTTT